AGAGACAGGAGCTCACCCCGTCTTGCGGCACCCGAGTCTTGAACTGCTGAACTTCTACAGCCTGCAGTTCAGCGTCTTAACCACTTGAGCCACCGCAGCTCCATTGTAGTACATTAGTTGTTGCCAAAATTAACTACACTTTTAAATCAAAATTCATGAAAACACATATCTACCATATATATGTATGAATCATTGTTATCTAATGTGGTGGATATCTTAAATAAACTTCTTCATATTACTTGTTTTGAATAAAACCTTGTCTTAAAAAACATTTCACTCATTCCAAAAGGAAAAACGCATAAGAGGAGTGTGTGTGTGTTTTGTGGACCCTCAAATTTCCCAATTTTTCCATCAGGAAAAATGAAGGGGGAAAAGTCTCAGGAAAAAATGGGGAGAGCTATTCCCGCCCCCAGGCCTCTCCATCCTTTCCTCCCATGTGACATGTTGAATGTCCAAAATATCTTTTCATTTGGTGGTAGCACTGGTACCCATTTAAGCTCACTTGTCATCATTCAGCTACCCGTGCTCTTACTACAGGTTGCACTGACTATATAGAGGACCACATGAATACCCAACTATGTTTATAAAATCCCTGAAATCATTCTGATTTATTCCATATAATAAAAATCAGATTGATTTATCCTTTAAAGATTAATTGATTCTATCCATTAAGGAAAGAGAATATACAGTACAAAGGCTGGTTTGTGTTTCTCTCTCCCTACTCAGTAAGTCAAAGTAGGAGCATCCTTGCTGGCAATGAACTTTGGAAGTTCTTTGGCACCAAATGCATGCAGGTGACTTGGTCGTTTAGCTGGCATTTAACGTGCTACTTCTAGTGAGCCAAGTTGCAAACTTGACTGAAGTGGTGGTGATGGAAAAGCTACTCCCATCTTCTCTATAGAGGCAGCCAGGACTTTGGCTGGTTGAGCCAGGACTTGACAACTATGCCTAAGTAACAGCATTTGTCTATCCCCCACTTTGAATCTATCTAGCTCATGCTAACATTTTGTTAACCTGCAGAAGATGGCATGTTCCAATATTGCCTGTAATGTCTAGATTCTTTGACAGATGCAGGTTTTTCCTGTTGTGAGTTTGTTTTTGTTTTCATCAGTAAATAATGGTTACATTGTACTACTAATGTAGCCTGTGATCAAAAAGGTTCTATGTATAGGTTTGGTTGTTTGTTTTTCCTTTCAGATGTTTTCTCTGCAGAATCTCCTTAACAATTGTTGTTATTCTTCCAAGTAAAAAAAAATTAGGACAGATTCCTTGGAGAAGTGGCATAGACATTTTCTACATAAATAATCAGGTTCAATATTTTACATATCAAGAAATACAAACTCAAAGTAAAAAAATGTTTTAAGCTTTGAATTCTTAAATTCTTAGGTTGATAAAAATTTTACTTGATTCCAGTATTGGCACGTTGGAACTTGAATTCTTTATAATGAAATGTTGTTTGATGCTAGTATTGGCACATTACTAGTTGAATTCTTTATGGTAAATATAAAAATGGTACAGTTCCATTTTTGGTGGTTTATTGTTTGATATTTAAAATATACTTAAGATGGTGGCAAAATCATTTAATGACATTTAATTAAAGCTTTAGAGAAGGTTGTACCTTGTTTTTTGTGTGTGTGATTTTAAAATGGAAATATTTAGAAAGCAAGAAAAGATCCAGTTCTAGAAGTTTTGTCTTTTATGTAAAGGTTGGATAAAATGGTGCATAAATATTTGTTATTATCAAAGAGATTATGTTGAAGGTAGATTATTATCTGATATCATGAGGTGAGTTATTAATGTCTTTTGGCAATAAATGGCAGGAAGAATTATCATTGATATTTTTCATCCAAAAGTAAGCCAAGTACATTGAATGGTTATTTCATACCATGGTTAAATTCAGTATTAGTTCACAGATTAAAAACTGGATTCAAATGAGATACTATAATCTTAGAACCAAGTCAATAAATCTCCACGTTTTTAAAAAATACCACAAGCCACCATTAAACTCCGAGCACAAACATAGCTTGTTTCGCTCACAGGCACAATTTCTTTTCCTACTACCTCACTCCCCTCATCCATGGAGCTTGTTGCAAAACTTCCTGGCTTGCTGAAATTTCAGTGTACTATGAGGATTGCTTTTTTCACTAAATCCACAATATTCAATTGAATTGATGTTCTCTCTAGATTGGTCATTTAATTAAACTTCTGGCATTTTTATCTTGCATCTATGGCAAAAGTTATAATTAAGCCTTATTTAGGGTATATGTGGGAAACAATTTGTATGTATAAAATACACATACATAATTTATAAATGGCACACTGGTTTATACTATGATATTGAGGTGTGAACATCTGACCCCACACACTTGCATGTCGTAGTTTGACACACACAAAAAGTCTCTGAAGCAGTTGTTAGTCTTTTGTGGTCAACCAAAGAACCAGGACAATCAGGATAGCAGAATATTAGATTGAAATGTAAAGAAATATTCATTAAACATTGCCCAAATTTAGTTCAGGCCCAGCTGTTGCTGCAGCTTGACCATTAATAGTGGAGAGCACTAGTGTGTAAAAAAAATTCTTAGTTTCCAGTAGATGTGTTCAAACTAGGGCCATACTAAATATTTTTAGGTTCTGGTCAGAACTGCCCATTTCTGTTGGATAGACATTTTTAAGACAGAATGCAGATATTCAGTCTTCTTGGTCCTGTTCAGTGACCTAGTTTCTCCTTGCTGCTATTTCCTTTCTTTAGTTAGATATGTGAGTGATCCCACAAAGCAAATGTTAACATGATGTTGTTGAACATCTCATCTGAATCTGTATAAACAAAAATACAACTGGTACAGTTTGGCTACTGAGGGTAAAGGATAACTCAGAATAATGTCCTTAAAACCTCACTAAAATTCTGTGAAAAATAGTTTATTGTTTGGCTTAGTTCAAACCATTGTCACTGTTCAGGTTATAACCAATTCTCCCTCTAAGCCAGGGGTGAACTCATTTGTTACGAGGGCCAGATCTGACATAAATGAGACCCTGTTGAGCCAGGCTATGTGTGTCACAAAATGTAATGCCAGGTGGCAGAGATATAAACTTTATAAAGGACACAGACACAAATGGGTTTTTTTTACTTAAAATCATGCTTAAAACATTTATTTAACAGTGTCTGATAACTGACATCTCTTGCTCTGAGTTATTGCATCAAAATGTCTGTGCTGTTGCAATCTTGAGTGTGCTGTTCAGGTGTGTATCTGTAAACTGCAAACCTACGATGACGCAGCAGCAGAAGAACTGGAAGAAGAAGCAGAAGACAGCCAGTTCCCCTGCGGGCCTAAGAGAAGTCCTCTGGGGGCCTGATCCGGCCCCCGGGCCTCATGTTTGATACCCCTGCTCTAAGCTGTGGAGTCTTGTGAGCAAAAATTCTACTTTGTGAGCTACGGCATTAAAGTTGTGAGCCAGTGATTTGGCTACTGCATAAATTAGTTTGCTCTGGAGCTATCCTTCCTAAGCTAAAACAAAAATGTGTGAGCTGGAGGCTAAAAAACTGTGAGCTAGCTCACACTAACTCAGCTTAGAGGGAACAGTGGTTACAACAATATGATCTTTAAACACTGGTAGTCCTGAAACCCAACTGTGTTGGCATTTGGCTTAAATTAGATATTTTGAATTAATTTCCCCTTGGTGGAAAAAGTGATGGTTAGATACTGTGGTTGACTAGAGCACTCTGGGGATATCTCCCCAATGTCAGTGTGAACAGCTGCTACACATTTATTAGTGCTAGTTAAATTTCTGATAATAACTAGACATATGTTACATGCTGACCTGTTTTAATTTTTGTATTAAGTATTTAATTTTTGCTTTTACGTGGCCAAAGTATTTTCTCCAAAATCTTAAGTTGTAAAAATGTTTGCTATTAATTAGTTGTAGATTTTCCAAGGCTGTATGGCCATGGTCTTGGCCAAGACCAAGGCCATGTGGCCTGGAAAATCTACAACAGCTAATGAACTCCGACCATGAAAGCCTTCGACAATATATTTTGCTATTAATGTTTGTGGTTATTGTTTCAACTTTTCTGATCTTTCTTCCTTCATTACTGTGTCATTGTCATATTGAATTAGTTATGTGAATGATTTCACACATTACAAAGCCTGATTTGGCTACAGGATGGAAGTTAGTAGTGATAACTAAGTGAGAGTGGTGCTTGCTTCCTAAATTCATCACATTGGCACTCAGTTGCAAATCGTACAATGAACAAGATATCACCTCATAACCATATCTGATTCATAACATTACAAGGCCTGATTTGGCTACATGGTGGAAGTTACTGGTGATAACTGAGAGTGGTGCTTGCTTCCTAAATTCATCACATTGGCACTCAGTCGATTGTAAATCATATAGTGAATAAGATATCACCACATAACCAATGAGATCTAACAATATGTTAACATCACTGTGGGCAAATTAAGCCAGTTATGAGTAAGAGCAATGCTTTTTTAAGTGACGACTCTTGCTTGCTTCTCAAAAAGTGCAGCAGCTGAAAAAAGCATTAATGGAGTGGAACTCTTCAGCATGAACAAAAATGTTCATGAAAAGTTCCCTCCCTTTGAAGCTCAGCTTTAATGGCTGCTTTTTTTGTTCTGTTATATAGAATTTCATAATTAAAAAGAGAACTGAAACTAGGATCAAATCAGTTAAGGAATAAAATTTTGAAATTATGAACTCTGTAGAAGTCAATACTTGAATGAAGAAAGACTGGTGGTGCTATGCAAAGGAAGGCAGTGGAAAACCATCTCTGCTCATCACTTGCCTTTAAAATCCACAAGGTAGAACTTCATGGGTTTGCGTTTGCCATAAGTTGGTTGCAACTCAACAGCACACTTTACCTTATAGAAGTCATAAATAACATCTAACCTACAGTATGTATTCTGCATGTTGCAAAGTTTTGTGATCCTGTAATGGTTTCAGGTATCTCATTATTCCATTTCCCCAACATTATGTCTTACCAGATTTTCAAAAGAAGCAGACAGACGATGAATCCACTCCCAGCACAAGCAACATCCAATCGGATTTGTTCTCTGGAGAATTAAATAGTGACAACAGTAATACCTCACTATCTACGCAGACTGTTAACTCCAACCAGCAACTTTCGACAGAACTGAATGTAACTTCAACAAGCAAAGAGGAATGTAAGTGCACAGTCCCAGAGGAGTAGGCAAACCAACTGAATTCTGCATTTTTTCCCTAGTGAATTTAGTTTCTGGTCCCTGTAGGAATGTAGCAGACTGTAAGTAAAAGTACAGAAAAGAGACAGTAATACATTAATTGTAGGGTGACCACAGGAACAAAGTTATTTTCATATCCTGAATGAACATGACTAATTGTTCTGAATTCAGTTTGACTGATACTATTATTGACTGATACTATTTATCACTGTATCATTAATTATAAAAATATTGGTGCAGTGATTAATAGCTACATAGTGTGCAATATAAGCACCATGTATGGATTGCTGGTAATTGTATTATTTCTGGATTCACAGACAGACTACCAGCATGACGATTGAGTTTAAAAAGTGTTAATACAAAGGGAAGACTAATTTCTTGTACAGCAGTCTCTAAGCCTTGTTCTAGAACTGAGGTCAATGTGATTTTACCAGCTCCCTAACACTGTTAAATACAATGCAATGTCTCTAAACAATACCTTCTGTCACTATATATCTCTCAACTCTTATACAATAACAAAGTAAAATCATATATAAAATTAAAAATCATACATAAATTACATAATGAAAATTATAGAATGGCCTTCACCAGTTAATGTTACCATATGTTAGTATATCTCTAAATCATTCTGGAAGTTTTATCTTTCTGTTTTAATTTCTCAATATTGGTTCATGGATGGGTCTTCCTACCGATGGTCCCATTCCTCTTCATTGAATATACTGTCAGTTGACTAAAACTGTAACCCAATGCTTTCTGAGACCTCAGGCACACCCTATGATAGGTCTTGTATCACTAGTTTTATGACACAGGAAGTTTCCATTAGCTGTCTGGATTGCACAATGCCTTGGATATGGCTGTTCCACAATTGTCACTTTTGCATCCCACGTACAAGTGGAACAAACTGGGTGTTCTGGTCTTAAATTCTGGAAGATCAAAAGCTCTCTTGTCAAAGTAATGATTTTATTTCAGCTTCCTTCTCATTAAAGGTTAAGTAAGGACCAACTATTCTCTAAGGGCATGCTCCTATAATACAGCATAAACTTATACAAATCACTTCCACTATCAGAATCTTTCTATCTCTGATTTTTTTACTTTTAGGACAGATATTTCTGAAAGTTCTGAAAATTATTTTCAGCACACCACATCTAACCTAATCTTTGGCACAATACCTGAATTGTATTAAGGAAAATTGTGAGTCGTTCTTACTGAAAACTTCATTCTGAATCCCATGTCATGCAAATATCCCATTCAGGCTGGCGATCGCTGGTTTTCTGGTGGTACTTGTCAGTGTGCGTATTTCTGAATATAGTCTGTGACTACCTCTTTGGAATGCCATGTAAACAAATCACTGTCTGCTTTTTGATAGGCTCTTTGGAAACTCGGTGGAACAATTTTCTACCATATTTCCTGTGTCTTGATTAATACATTACTTCTTGAGCCTTTTCTTTTCTTTTCTTTTCTTTTTCTTTCTTTTTTTTGCACTTTCCAATGCCTAGATGACCTTCCTGAATTTTCTGCAGCATTTCTCTGTGGATGTTAGTAGGTATTACTACCAATGCTTCCTCTAAGCTGTGGAGTCTTTTGAGCAAAAATTCTACTTTGTGAGCTACCGACATTAAAGTTGTGAGAAAACGATTTGGCTACTGCATACATTAGTTTGCTCTGGAGCCATCCTTCCTGAGCTAAGAGAAAAATGTGTGAGCCAGAGGCTAAAAAACTGTGAGCTACACACTAACTCAGCTTAGAGGGAACACTGATTACCACTACTTAAAGATCACTATAACTGTGAGTTCATGTCTATAATTCCAGTAATCTATTAATTTCAGATCACAAATATCCTTAGTTTGTCTGATTTTTCAGGTCACTGTATTTTCTGGCCAATAACTATTCATAATACATCTCAAACACCACTCACTTTTCTGTCCAAAAAGTCTCTTGTTGTGGACAATTTAGAGATAATTTTTCCAGTGTAATTTACTACCCCTCACCACTGAACAGCTTTCTTTGAGTTAAACTTGCAAATCTAGTAGTGTTTAGGACTTTCTGAACTCATCAGTCATGTTCTTTAGTCACACTCCAAACTCTAAGGTCATCTATAGATGTGTCAGTGTCATAGCATGTGCATGATCTTGTGATAGAATTCTGGGACAGATGCAGTACTAAATTGCAAGCATAAAAATCTATACTACTCAAATGAAATATCAAATGTATGCAGTTTTGAGCTGCCTTCTGTTAACTTTAATGGACAAAATCCTGAAGAAGCATCCAGCTAGCATTTTTGTACTTGATACTAACAATGCATCCTGCCAGTGCTGGGATATTTGTCCCTAAGTAACCAGCAACACTGATTTGGGTTGCTCTCAGTTTTGGTCTTAACTGACAAAACTGCTGCTCTTACTGAACAGCAGTGTCCACTGTTTCATCTACCTGCATTGGCAAAATCCATTCTCTGTGCCCAGATTTTCTTCTTGGGATCAGTTTTTCCAATACCTTTATCTGCAGGTGCTGCAAGATAACTTGGTTTTTCCATGACCATGCCTGAAATCTTCTGAGATATTGAACAGCTGCTTTACTAGGCAAGGCTTTTTATCAGAAAATTTTCAGCGAGGAGTTTGACTGTAAAGATATACGAAGGGGGAAACTTATTTTAAAAATATGTTTTCCTGTTCTAGGCTTCTGTACACACACTAATGCATACTCCAAGATGATAGATATTAGGCAGCCTAGCCAGCAGCACATCTGAAAATATTACCTATAAAAATTCTTTATGACTTCCTGCTGGGATGGCTGTAAGTGAAACACAGTGGTTAGATTTATTTACAGTTCTAGCTATCTCTCTTCTCCCCCACCAACACTAGTTCTCTAATGTAGCTCAAATTAGTGTCATTTATCAGAGCTAATTATACAGCAGATGGAGCTTTTCTGATTGATGATGGTCTCAATGTGGAAGGTTCTTTCCCATAATGAAGAATGCCCAAACTTTAAATGTCTTTTTTGATTTTAATTTAAGGGTGGCTTTCCCCCATTATTTATTTTGTTTTGTAGAGAGTTCTATAATGTGAACACTGCTTTCATTATAGCATTGTTTCTTAAGATGGATATTTTTCAGTACAGTGTGATGATGTACAGCTGTGTGCTTTACTGAATGGATTTCCTTGTATTTCACTGAAAACCGATGTGGGAGATCATTAAGTTAATTCCTATCAACGTGCAAATAGATTAGACTAGTGTTGTCTTTAGAAATCAGACAGCAGCCCTTTGTGACCTTTTCCCCTCCCTTCTAAAACAATTCATCCAGGTGCTAGCCATTGTTAATTACCTTACAGGATAAACAGACTATAAATAAGCCATTTTATTCATCATGCTACAATAAGGAACTATCATATTAATGGCATTGACTGGGAAGAATTTTAAGTAACTTTTTCTGAATAGTGAAAATATTCTGGAAGGGGGAAAAGGCCTATAATTATTGTTCTGCAGTCATTGGATCTAGCAGGATATTTAATGTGATTGCATGCACTTCTATAATTTTACTAACCTTTCTTGTGAGTGAAAAGTATCTTTCAATGATACTTGCATTCAATGTTCACTCTAATTTTTTTCCCTACTGAGCAATGGGCAGTGCAGGACCCTGCCCGGCTCCAGATTGCTGCTGAGCAGGGTTACCTGTGTTAAGGAGCTGCTGCTCATGTGCACAGCTTAGAGGGAACATTACAGTTTTATCTCCGGAAGAATCAGTATCGGAAGGTCTACCTAAAGTCCTACAAATTCTTATTTAAATTTTGGCCAGTTGCTGATTTTACACTGAGAGTTAATGCTGTTTCCAGCACTGCTCCCAAAAGTAGCCAAACATGAATCTTCTTGATGTCAAATAGTCCCGGTGCACATCTGACACATACACATAAACCTTTGTTCAGACCATTTGGTTTGTGAGCATTTTTTGCTCCTTGGTCTCAAGGTTTCACTGGAGGGGGGCAGTTCCTTAAGTAGTTCTTGAAATGAAAATGATATGAAGTTCTTCCTTTCTTAACTTGATCACTGGGCTGTTTTCTTAGACCCATACTCCTCTGAGTTTACCACTGTTGTCTTGCTAAACATAATTTAATTGCTGTTGATGTACATTCTCTTGTGTTCCAGTGTTTACTATTCAAATATGTCTTTCTGTTATTTCCTGTCTTCCTTCTTAACTATTCCGTTTTTCAGGGCATGTTGACATTAATGTTTTCACCAACTCTGGAATCCATTTAGGCTGTATTGTCTTCAGGTGATTTGTTGGGCTTCCTAGCAGGTGACTGCCTGTAAAGCGTTGATCATACGGATAGAAGAGAAGGAGCTGAAATATTTTCTCTCTTAAGCTCTCCTTCAGAATGTGCTTATTAGAGTAGGGAAGTCTTGTGTACTTTATTAAAAGGTCATGCCATCTACTAGAACAATTTCATTTGGTCTGAGCCTTTCATCCCCTTCTCTGTGGCTGTCACATTGTTTCCCTTTTTTCTATGCAATTGCTGCTAGAAGCTGACATGGTGCAGGTTTAAGTGAAATCTAAATTGTAATATGACATGAAAAATGTCAGTGTGGAAAATATGACTTTGGCAGGTGGTTCAGGTTTAATATTTCTGTGCTCTGTACTTCAGTGGACATTTTGCTATAATATGTGCTTAACTATTTCCTAAACTCCGCAGTTTGGCCAACAGTGCAGTTGTGTGTAGAACTATTAAAATATTGACATTCCTGGTTGGGTGTCTGTTAATAAAATATGTATTAGGTTCACCTGAACACACAATGTCTGTCCTAATGTTGTGCTTTTCTATCTTAATGCTTGTAGTGGAAGATTCCACTTAAGCCACTGAACATCCATAGCTCTTTAGCAGTGGTGAGTCTTCAGCCCTTTTAAAATTTATACTCAAGGTGGAGTATGCTCACTACAAATTCTGTCTGAAGATGTTTGGGAGGAGGGGAAAAAT